TGTTATATAGTTTTTCTAGGTTATATAGGTTTTTAGTTTATATAGGTTTTTTAGTTTTTAGATAGTTTTCCCAGTTATATAGGTTTTTTAGGTTAACTAGAAAAAAACCTATATAAACTAAAAACCTATATAACCTAGAAAAACTATATAACAAAATCCTATATAACTGGGAAAACTATATAAAAACTAAAAACCTATATAACTGGAAAAAAAAACGTATATAAACTATATAACTGGGGAAAAAAAACCACTATAACCAGAAAACTATATATAGCTAAAAAAAAATATAAAAACTAGAAAAAAAACCTATATAACCAGAAAACTATATATAGCTAAAAAAAATATAAAAACTAGAAAAAAAAACCTATATAACCAGAAAACTATATATAGCTAAAAAAAATATAAAAACTAGAAAAAAAACCTATATAACCAGAAAACTATATATAGCTAAAAAAAATATAAAAACTAGAAAAAAAAAAAAAACCTATATAACCAGAAAAAAACCATATAGTTTTCTGGTTAGTGTTTTTTTTTTTTTTTTTTTTTTTTCCCCTAGTTATATAGGTTTTTTTTCTAGTTATAGGTTTTTTTTTTTTTTTTTTCTAGCTATATAGGTTTTTAGTTTTATATAGGTTTTCTCTAGTTTTTAGATAGTTTTATATAAACTATATAACTGGGGAAAAAAAACACTATAACCAGAAAACTATAAGGGTTTTCTCTTCTTTTTTTTTTTTTTTTTCTTTCTAGCTATATAGTTTTCTGGTTATATAGTTATTTTTTCAGTTATATATAAAAATATATATTTTATTTTTAATTTGTGGAATTGCGCTTGAGTTCCAAAAGCGATCAGATAACGGCTCCCTACGTTTTTGTACGTTTTTTTTTTTTTCCGCCTATTTGACATACTGTATGTGGAGGATCCCCTGGGTGGTTTGTGCTGTAATAACTTCTGATTGACAGTTTACCGAGACTTTTATAATGTAATGGGGGGTGAAAAAAAAGCAGTTTGTGCAGAAAGCTGCAGCGCTGAATGCAGCTGAGCACCGAGTCCGCGGTCCCTGCGGATGGGAGAGGTTAGACATGACGGTGACCCAAATTTCTTGTACAGCGCTTTATTGAACCAGCAACAGCAATCAATTTCATAGCTGCTGGAGCCTGTAATGGGTCATGTTTATGAAACCTGGATGAATGAGGAGCTCAGGTGTCGCAGATGTAAATCTGGGTCCAGGTTTGTTTCCTTGTGCCGCTTAATAAGCGGAAGGTGGACATACATGGACCAATGTCTGCTACATGGAGTTTGGCTATTAATTGGATGATGCTGGGAAATCTTACCTGTGTGCAAAAGGATTCTTCCATTGTAAATTGAGCTCTTGCTGCTCTTTTCCTCATCGAGGTGCCCTCATCCCTTGTCCCCTGGCATGGAGGTGCCCTTGTCCCCTGGCATGGAGGTGCCCTTGTCCCCTGGCATGGAGGTGCCCTTGTCCCCTGGCATGGAGGTGCCGCTATTAATTGGTTGATGCTGGGAAATCTCACCTGTGTGCAAAAAAGGATTCTTCCATTGCAAATTGTGAGCTCTTGCTGCTCTTTTCCTCATGGAGGTGCCCTCATCCCGTGGAGGTGCCCCTGGCTGGCTTGGAGGTGCCCTCATCCCGTGGCCCCTGGCTTGGAGGTGCCCCATCCCGTGGCCCCTGGCTTGGAGGTGCCTCATCCCGTCCCTGGCTTGGCCCCATCCCGTGGCTTGGAGGTGCCCTCATCCCGTGGCCCCTGGCTTGGAGGTGCCCTCATCCCGTGGCCCCTGGCTTGGAGGTGCCCTCATCCCGTGGCCCCTGGCTTGGAGGTGCCCTCATCCCGTGGCCCCCTTGGAGGGCCCTCATCCCGTGGCCCCTGGCTGAGGTGCCCTCATCCCGTGGCCCCTGGCTTGGAGGTGCCCTCATCCCGTGGCCCCTGGCTTGGAGGTGCCCTCATCCCGTGGCCCCTGGCTTGGAGGTGCCCTCATCCCGTGGCCCCTGGCTTGGAGGTGCCCTCATCCCGTGGCCCCTGGCTTGGAGGTGCCCTCATCCCGTGCCCCTGGCTTGGAGGTGCCCTCATCCCGTGGCCCCTGGCTTGGAGGTGCCCTCATCCCGTGGCCTGGAGGTTTGGTTATTAATTGGATGATGCTGGGAAATCTCACCATTGTAAATTGTGAGCTCTTGCTGCTCTTTTCCTCATGGGGGTGCCCTCATCCCATGGCCCCTGGCATGGAGGTGCCCATGGCCCCTGGCATGGAGGTTTGGTTATTAATTGGATGATGCTGTAAAATCTCACCTGTGTGCAAAAAAGGATTCTTCCATTGTAAATTGTGAGCTTTCTGCTCTTTTCCTTTTGAGAATGGTCAGTCAGACCCATGATTGGTTACTTCAAGAGACCTTTCCACTTGGCCTTTACAACCCTTGGTGACGTGATCTAGTTCTGTATTTTAAAGGCCCGTGTATGCCGAATCTGTTGATTTGTACTTTGACACCTGACCATCATATCACCGATTTGACCTTGCTGGACAACCCATTCTAAAACCATGGCCCCTGGCGTGGAGATGCCCTCCTCCCGTGGGCCCCTGGCGTGGAGGTGCCCTCGTCCCATGGCCCCCCTTTGTGGCTACAAAAGCCCCCACCCTTCTGGGAAGGGTTTCCATAAGATTTTTGAGGGTCTCTGGGAATTTGTGACCTTTTGAGAGGTCATGTACTGATGGATGAGAAGACCTGGCTCACAAAACATTCGAGATGTTCATTAGGGTTGAGGTCAGGGCTCTGTACAATCCACTTGAGTTCCTTCAGTGTGGAACAAACCATATAATACTTGTGGGTCTGGCTATCTATGGATTTTCATCTCTTGAGGGCTACACTGGCTGAAGAATTTTCAACATCGGACACATCTGAGGATACAGGGTGCCTGGTCCTCGGATTAGAAATGTGGCTCCATCTACTGACCTGTCAAAAGCCAGCAGGTACAACCAAATTGTGCCGTCGGGGCAAAGGCTACAGGCAAAAGAGCATTTGTTAGGTCAAGTTATGTTTGAGAAGACCTGGCTCACAATCGGCATTCCAGCTTATTCCAAAGGTGTTCGGTAGGGTTGAGGTGAGGGTTCTGCACAGGACACTCCAGTTTCTCCATGACCTCAAACCTACTCCTACACCTTTTGGGATGAAAAGACCTAATTCTGAAGGGGTTCTATAGGGTTAAGGGCAGGTACTGATATTGGATGAGAAGCCCCTTTTTTATACCAAAGGTCTTCCGAAAGTAGTGTTGGGGTCAAGGCTTTGTGCAGGGCTTAAATTTGGGAACACCATCCCAAAAACCGTAGGGTTTTTTTCTTTTTTTGTGGCTATAACAGGTTGGATGAGAAGACCTGTCTCACCGTCTGTGTTCCAATTCACCCCAGGAGGTGTTCAGTGGGGTTGAGGTCAGGACTTCCATCACATCTGAGTTTGAGTAATTGTGGAATTGTGCCCCCCCCCCCCCCCCGAAATTCCATTCCATTAGTATGGAATTGCCCTCTTTTGTGGATATACCATCTCCACTCTTCTTGGAGGACTTTCCACAAGATTTTGGGTGCCTGGGGGACTTTGTGCCCATTTTTGAGGTCAAGCACTGACTGATGAGAAGATCTGGCTCACCGTCGGGGGTTCCAAATCATCCCAATGGTTAAGGTCAGGACTCTGCAGGGCACAAGTTTCTCCACATCAGACTGGCCAAACCATGTCTTGATGGAGCTGGCTTCGTACATGAGGCAGTCATGTTGGAACAGTTAATAGCCTTCATCAAAGTGTTGGTTGACCTAGTCAACTTTTTTTGTTGTGCTCTTCCAAGGCCCCATGAAATCGTTGTAGGCCTCATTCACGTTTCTCTGGAGGTTACAAACCTACTCAGTGCCTTTTTGTTAGGAACAAGGTAATACCAGCCAAGCATTTAGTGTCAGTTTTTACAAGTTCATTAGATAAATGGGAGTCTCGGAGTCCCTGCCCCAAAGCACTTTAAAACTTGTCTGGCTTTGGGAGAGGCTGGTGTAAGTCTGAGGGATAAACTTTTGAGTCGTGAGTTTGAGGAAATGGTGTTTTTTCTTTTTTTTTTCCTGAACTTGAGTTTTCGATGTCATGAATGCATTTTCCACGGCGTAAAGGTTTCTGTGGTCTTCAGAAATGGACACCGGTTTTGGTTTGTGGGTTCAAACTTCAGCGCGCACGTTTTTTTTTGGGGGGGGTTGATTTACTCGGTCACTTTTAACGTGGGATAACCTGAAGCCCGTTTAATTGTGTCTGGATCCTACTAGGCTTAGCAGGTTTAACTTCTGTGTCTGTTGTTGCATTTACATGCATTCCCTTTCCGCCCCGAAGCCCTCACTCCCACTCACCGCAGGGAAGCGGCCCCCTTATGGAGAATGAGGTAAGAGGGTGGGCCACTAGGTTCTTTTCATTGCGCAGAGGGCGGGTGATGGGACCAGAAAGAGAAGTTTCTTGACAGGAAATGACAGGAAAGGAACAAAAACCCCTGAACGGAATGACTGACAGGCCAGGCTTTTAATTGGTACTGGAAAGGAGACAATGAGCCTCATGAGCTTTGAGTTCTGTTGTCTGGTGCACACTGGAGATCCTGAAGAAAAACAGGGCCTACAGGCGCTTAACTGTTTGTTTGCCTGTGTCACTTCTGGCTTATTGTAGGGGGGGGGGGGGGGGGGGCTAGGTCTACTTCTGACAGCTGCACATCAAGAGTCCTTGGAAATACCAAAAATTTCCTCACGTGATCTGGTACCCTGGAATATTTTAACAAGGTTGACCAATGGTGGAAGTCGTAGCTTTGCAATGACTGGAACCAGGGGCGGACTGACCATTTGGAAACTCGGGCACTGCCCGGGGTCAGGGTAGGGGGCCCCATGAGATGCCCCTGGTACCTTTTTCATGGGCTTTTTTGAGTTTGGGCAAGGACACAGGGGCCCCATGATCCCCATGAGTTGTCAGTCCACCCCTGACTGAAACCCATGTTCCTTTCTGCTTCTCAATTGGATATCCCCTTCTCTAAATCATTTTACCTGTGAAAACTACCTGGATGTACCTAAACCAAGTGGCTGAAGATTGCCCGGTTCTATGCAACCCACTGAGCAGACTAGAGACAGATTTACGAATGTTCGTGTAATTGCAGAAATCGTGTCTATCTGCAACCATCCCCGGAGGTTGGCCGCGAAAGTCCTTGTCTGACCACTTTCTGTTATAGGATGACAACTTTGTCTCGGTCTTCCGGTTCTTCTCCTGCGTTGTCACATGAGCCTACGGAGAGTACAAGTAGCCATTTTAAAGCTGAACTTGGGGAAATTGGACCCTTGCCATTGGGGCCCCCTGCTTTGCAAGGTTTAAATGCTTGTTTCATCCAGGGGTGCAGGATTAAAGTGTTACCCTATCCTTGGTCTGGAAGGCTCCAGGGCTGTTCACTTCTGCTTGACGCATAGGACTCTGATACCGATGGTGCAAATGGCTATTTTAAAGCTAAGCTTGGGAAATTGGACACAATCTACCCTTGCAGTGGGGGCCTTTTAGTCAAGGGGTGCAGGGATCAGGTGTATTAACCTATCCTTGGTCCAGAAGGCTCTAGTGCTGTTCTCTTCTGCTTGAAGCATTGGACTTTGATGCCGATGGGTAGTACAAATGACTAGTTTAAAGCTAAGCTTGGGAAATTGGACACAATCTACCCTTGCAGTGGGGGTTTTTAGTCAAGGGGTGCAGGGATCAGGTGCATTACTTACCCTTTTTGGTCCAGAAGGCTCTAGTGCTGTTCTCTTCTGCTTGAAGCATCAGAACTTTGTGTCCAATTTCCCAAGCTTAGCTTTAAAATAGCCATTTGTACTATCCATGGGCATCAAAGTCCGATGCTCCAAGCAGAAGAGAGCAGCACTGGAGCCTTCTGGACCAAGGATTGGTTAATACACCTGATCCCTGCACCCCTTGACTAAAAGGCCCCCCACTGCAAGGATAGATTGTCCAATTTCCCAAGCTTAGCTTTAAACTAGTCATTTGTACTATCCATTGGCATCAATCTACCCTTGCAGTGGGGGCCTTTTAGTCAAGGGGTACTGGGATGAGGTGTATTACTTACCCTATCCTTGGTTCAGAAGGCTCCAGTGCTGTTCTCTGCTTGAAACCTCGGACTTTGATGCCGATGGAGAGCAGGAGCCTTCCAGACCAAGGATAGGGTAACTAATACAAGTTATCCCCGCACCCCTAGACTAAAGAGACCACTGCAAGAGAAGGTTTTGTCCAGTTTCCCAAGTTCAGCCTTAAAATGTCCACCTCTAAAAAAAAAAAAAAAAAAAAAAAAATCTACCCTTGCGGTTGAGGCCTCTGCTCTTCAAAGGATAACTTGTTCTATCTACCTCTTCTTCTTCTGCTTTTAGAAGTGGCCATTTTAAGGCTGAACTTTGGAAACTGGGCAAAACCTTCCTTGCAGTGGGGGGTCTTTAGGGGTGCGGGGATAACGTGTTACTTACCCTATCCTTGGTCTGGAAGACTCCAGCGTTCTGCTCTCCGTGGGCATCAAAGTCCGAGGCTGGAGCCTATCCTCTGACCAGAAGGCTCCAGCACTCTTCTCTTCTGCTTGAAACTTTGGATAGTCCCTTGAAGCTGACCCTGCACTGTCGGTGGTGAAGGCATGCGTGAGACCTTGGCCTGAAGCACCTTTAGAAAGGTGGCAGTGTTGGACCAGTTACTTGGATGAAGAACCTGCCAGAGCCAGAAATAAGGTGTTACACCTCATCCCTGCACCCCTAGACTAAAGCATTTAACCCTTGCAGTAAGACCGGGTCCCACTGCAAGGGTAGGTTGTCTAATTGCTGGTGTTCAGCTTTAGCGCATGACACATGCATGGTCCACTGTTGTCACCACCAGGAACCCACTGTGCCATTCAGCTGCTGCTGTAGTGCATGTAGGCAGGAAGTGGTTGCAAAGAGGCTGCAGGAGATTGGCAGAAATAGACACACAGAATACGGAAACTAACAAAAAATGCGAATGTGTATAAATACTTGGTCTACAGACTTAGCTGTCATCCAGGTAAGGGTTACATCTACTTTTGTGGTTTTTCGTGAACATGCCTTCTGTCTTCTGATCGGATTTCCTCATTGGGCCCGTCTGGTAGGAGAGAGATGATGCAGCTGGCCACAGCCTAGCTTTGATGTAGACTAGAAGGCCTGTACCATGGGGAAAACCCTTCATTATACGAAGGTGATAAGCTGCTGATCAGAAGGACCCGTGAAGACGACGAGGGAAGGGGGGAGAATTTTGGTCAGCAAAGGGTGAAAAGGAGCCAGGATTACTATGGAAACCAGTTTCTGCCTGGCTGGTGCATCTTGTAAATCCATTTAGAAGCCACAAAGTGGGTGGGTGTAGAAGCACATCAATAGGGGCCGGTGTGTGAAAGAGAAGAGAGCTTATGTGTGTCTGGAAGGGGGCGCCCCTTGAATGGGCCAAGGGAGCAGAGGCACAAAGGAGGCTCTGCCTGGCCCTTGTCTTGGACAGTCCATTAAGAGTCACCCTTTAACCCTAGACAATGGGGCCATACTTGTCTCAAGTATATAAGCTCATTCATTCTTGCCATCCTGGCTTCTGGGTGGGGTTTTTTTTAATTAGCAGGGCCGGTGTTTGGTTCTCACAGTAAAGATACTTCTCCGCCCCAGTTGTTGTACCATCGTTGCCATAAAAGACCCGGTACAGATGGACATTGTGGATGGACGAAGCGATGGGGAAGAGGCAGAGCCGGGTTTGTATAGCCTGGGCCCGTATCTTAGCAGGTCGCCCCTTGAACAGAAGCTGTAGCACACAGTGATCCAGAGCTTTGTCCTCTCTCCGGCAGTGTGCCGCCATTATTTGCTCAAGTGCTGTAGGATGTGATGTCGGCGGTATCATTTGATGGCGTATATTGACCCTCCGCATGTATAGGCAGATGACCCAGAGAGCCAAGTAGAAGGAAACCCAATAAGTGAAACCTCCTGACCTATTAATGCAGCTTTCATTGAAATAATCCCTGGTGATCCTGCCAGGAGGGTCTGACACCGGTTATAGGGTATCAAAGGGTTATAGAGTAACTGTTGGGTTGTCACCCTACCACACAAGCTGTGGTGGCTACTACAACGTGCATTACACAGGCATGGTCTGCTGTTTTCTCCTTGTGAAATGCGATGCAGCCATCGTTGGGAGTTCATGTAGACATGAAGTGGCTGCAAAGAGGCTGAAGGAGATCCGCATCACTGAGATGAGAAGGTTGCTTTATCAGTGAATGATGCGTCTGAATTTTCAATGGCTGTGCATTCTGTCTTCTTGCTACACTAATCCTGGATAAAACTGATATAGGAGAAATGATCTCCATACGTTGGGACATCCATTTCACGACCTCTCCTTTAGGAATGTGTAGGAGATAAACTTGACTTTAGATGGGATGACTTTCCTGATCTCTAGTGTAGGGTTGCATTGGACATGGTTGGTGAACTTTGGCCCTCCAGCTGTTGCAGAACTACAAGTCCCATTGTGCTTCTGGGAGTCTTGCTTGTGGTTCTCAGTCTTGCAATGCCTCACGGGGCTTGTTCTTCAACAACTGGAGGGCCAAAGTTTGCCTACCCCTGGTGTAGGAGAAATGTTCTGTCCTCTAGATGGGACTTCTATTCCGTGACCTCTAGAGTAGAAGAAAAATTCTCCGTACTTTAGTGGATGTCTATTTCATGACTTCTAGTGTTGGCGAAAAATCCGTACTTTAGATGGGACGTCTATTCCATGACCTCTAGTGTAAGATTGTGTTGGGCAAAATTTGTTGTGGAACTAAAAGTCCCATCACATCTGAGTGGTGCTTGTGCTTGCCGACCTTGCAATACCTCATGATACATAGCTCTTGCAACAGCAGGATGGCTGATATTTGCCTACCCCTGTTGTAGGAGAAATGTTCTCTGTACTTTAGATGGGACATCTCTTCCATGACCTCTAGCAGAAACGTTCTCCGCACTTCAGTTAGATGTCTGTTATGACCTCGAGTGTAGAATTTTATAGGAGTTGTTCTCTATACCTTTTTTAGATGGGACATCTATTTGATGACCTCTTGTCCCATCTAAAAAAAAAAAAAAAAAAAAAGGTACAAAAAACTACCCTTACACAATCCTGCACAAGAGGTCATCAGATATCCCATCTAAAAAGGTATAGAGAACTCCTCCATACTTCAGTTAGATGTCTGTTATGACCTCGAGTGTAGAAGTTTATAGGAGAACTTTTCTGCTAGAGGTCATGGAATAGATGTCCCATCTAAAAAAAAAGGTACAAAAAACTACTTACACAATCCTGCACATCTATTCCATGACCTCTAGCAGAAAAGTTCTCCGCACTTCAGTTAGATGTCTGTTATGGCCTTGAGTGTAGAATTTTATAGGAGGAGTTCTCTATACCTTTTTAGATGGGACATCTATTTGATGACCTCTTGTGCAGGATTGAGTAGGGGTAGTTTTGGTACCTTTTTTTTTTTTTTTTTTAGATGGGACATCTATTCCATGACCTCTAGCAGAAAAGTTCTCCTATAAAATTCTACACTCAAGGTCATAACAGACATCTAACTGAAGTATGGAGGAGTTCTCTATACCTTTTTAGATGGGACATCTACTTGATGACCTCTTGTGCAGGATTGTGTAATGGTAGTTTTTTTTGTACCTTTTTTAGATGGGACATCAATTCCATGACCTCTAGCAGAAAAGTTCTCCGCACTTCAGTTGTCTGTTATGACCTCGTCTGTAGAATTTTTTTATAGGAGGAGTTCTCTATACCTTTTTAGATGGGACATCTATTTTGTTGACCTCTTGTGTAGGATTGTGTAAGGGTAGTTTTCTGTACCTTTTTTAGATGGGACATTTGTTCTATGACCTCTTTTGTGTAGGAGAATCGTTCTTTATATCGTAGATGGGAATTCCATTCCATGACCTCTAGCGTAGGAGAAAAGTTCTCCATACTTTTAGTTGATGTCTATTCCATGACCCCCTAGTGCAATATTGTGTGGGATATACGTAACTTGTATCCTACA